CCAGGTTAAGGAAGACGTTTGGAGAAAAAAAAAAAAAAAAAAAAAAAAGAAAAAATTTTTTTTTAAAAATGGAACACACTCTAAAACTTACGTAACTCTCACTATTTCAATGAACTTTTGGTAAATGTGCCCACATAAACGAGAGCAGAAGAGCCACACATCAGTGTTTTTGAGAGAGAAGGGAAACAAGCATCAGAGAATGCACTTAAAAAAAAACCCTGAAATGTTTTGAATGTCACCGGTTTTGATTGAAAGAATGGTTCAGCCCCAGCAATGCAGAGCAGCAAGAATAGCTCCTCTGACATACTGTCTCAGCCTTTCATATGTAAGAAGTTTCTTACAGTCTCTCTCCTCTCCTCCCACCCACTTCCTTCCTGCTTCTTTTTCTTTTTTCGTCAGGGCAAAGCGGGACCCAGGGGATGGAAAGGAAAGGTTTGTCGAATTAGACTTTGCGGAATTAGATATAATCCATTCTGTCTTATTCTCTGCCGCAGTGAGAAGCCCTGTCAAGCCCGCATTGCTGCAATAGAAGACTTATTGAGCCAATACTCTATGCTTGGGGAAATCTGGCCCCCGGGGTACAAAAAAAGGAAAAAAAAGAAAAAGAAAAAATGTACATCACAGGAGTCATCCTTTTGTGCACACATCTAAAATGTCAAACACTTTAATGTCTGCAGAAACATATAGAAATGCAAAGTCACAAAGTTGCTGCCATTTAAAGGAAGTTAAAAAGTATTGCTTGACTTAACGTACTTTTTTGATCTCTGGTGTGAAAAACCAGCAGAGCAGAATAATGCTTAGTTGACTGTATGCTAAGCCTGTGTGGCTCGTGCTACTGTACCACACTTTGTTGAATTGCATATTTACTGTAAAACAGTGTTAAGAAGTCTACATGCTCTGGTTATTTCCAGTATACGGAGCCCCCTGGGGGACATGAACAATTTTTCTTTCTTTTGCGTTACCTTGCAATAGGCTTTGCGTTCTCTTGCAATAATGGACTGATCTTTATGCAGCTTAACTGAATATTGTAAGCTGCTATTATATAAGGTATTTGTAAGGTTTTTCCATGTAAATGTCTCGTGAAATATCTGAAGTTTTATATTTTTTTCTATAGGATAGAAATGCACGACAAACCTATGACACAAACATACGGAAGAGGATTAGGGCCACTGTAAAAAAGAAAAAAAAATCTGACTTTAATCTCAGAATTCTGACTTTTTTTCTCAGAATTCTGACTTTTTTTCTCAGAATTCTGTCTTTTTTTCTCAGAAGTCCTTTTTAATGGCCTGCCAGTAGGTTATATAGTGACTGCACCAATCACAGCGCATGTTCAGTAATGTAAAAATATGGTTTTATTTTTTTTTTCCAGTGGTCCCAATCCTCTTCTGTACAAACAGACACTTTCCATAAGTGGGAAAGAAATAAAAAAATACATCCAAACTATTTGGACTATTTCGGAGTTATGATCATGGGGTAATCAGTTATTTGACAGTTTTGATTGCGTCTTTTTTGTGTTGCTCTGAAGGGACGTTTTCATGTGCAGTTCCATCTCAGTCTTAGATAAACAGACAAACATTCAGTGACTAAATCGATTTTCAGTGTTTTGCACCAAAACGTTAAGAATAAACACGTTTTCACTGAGGCTCTTTAAATGTGTATATATCTGAGATTTTAAATTGACATTTGTGACTGTAAACAAAATAGACCAGCAAATATTGCAGTAAGCATATTGTGAGAGAACACAAAACGTATTGCGAGGGAACGCAAAAGAAGCATTTTTCCCCATGCCCCCTAGGGGGCTCCGTACCAATATACCGTAATACAGTTGGGTACAGTTAACATAGTCTAGTCAAGTTATCAATTGGATTCCATTACACTCAGTTATTTTATAAATGGCATGTGAATGATTTGAAAGTTATCTATAAATAAAAGCAACAGATTACACTGGCAGCAGTGGACAGATGTCAAAGTTGGCACAAAGTCCGTTAAACAACATTAAATACAGAGTAGAGAAAACTGAATGGACTTTTGCATCAGTCTGGGACCGAATATTTGCAATTTTGGCAATATTTTAAATTTTACCATATACATATGGTAAAATTCTGGCAACTACAGCTGGTATCTTACAGTATATTAGATATGTTTATTCTTTTTTTTTTTGTACAGTGTGCTAATGCTCATTGTTAGTCTTCCAAACTAGGCTGTGGGTAATTTAAAAAACTCTATAGTGCAAGGATTCCAAAATCTGCCACAGAAGGAGCTAGAACATGTTGGCAGAAAAAAAAAAAAAAAAAAAAAAAAAATGGGTCTTATTTTTTTTAACCATCTCATGTCAGCTTGTGAAAACCTGAAACTCTATTTAAGCAAAATGTCCACCGGGGAACCTGGCAAGCGCTCTCTTAGTTTTCTCATTACTTGGCGACGGGTTGAATCTCACCCTGATGTGCAGCTTGAGCACCCAGTCTGAGCCGTGAGTAGCTGTTGTTGTGCATTATTGAACATGCGCTGTGATTGGTGCAGGCACTATATAACCTACTGGCAGGCCATTAAAAATAGATATACGAAATTATCTGCTGGGCCATTTATAATTGAGTTGTGAGTCGGACGTGGCCGGCGGGCCTCGAGCTGGACGTGGCTACTGTGATGTGTTGCTTCTGTTTCAGTGGAAAAAGAGAGAAAAAAAAATCTAACTGAAACATGGAAATGGGGATGGTTCACATTGCCTTACTATACCAAAATATGACAAATGTGGGATTTTTTTATATTTTATTTTGAAGATGACTGATATCCTTATGAATCCCATATTTTTTATTTATTTATTCTTTTTTCAGTGTAGGAGTGAAAGGGGCCTCCAGGGCCTCCACATGATGGACGGGACATAGGCTTAATGGGGGTAGTTGCGTTTCTCGGGTATGATGGGTTACCCAGAAAGCGTTAGCTGAAAGTCATCCTTGTATACATGCTCCCATAGATGTTAGAATAAGCAAGACAAATGGGCTGACTACAGTCACTTATCTAGTGGCAGCGCTGGGTGACTTATGTTCCAGAATGAAGCCGATGCGGCTGTCAGTGTGTGTGTGTGGGTTACATGAAGATGGAGGAGGCCTACGGAGAAGTTCCTGTAAACGGCAGGACTCAGACGAAGGCGGTATTCCCAGTCCCAGTGAGGATACGGCTGAATCCGGGTGTAATCATGCGCTTTGGAGCAAAACCTCCTCATACGAGCGTCGTCTCCAGCTCCGTGTCGTTTTGCATTCGCTTTTGTTTTGGTTCGTCGCTACGTGTAGCTGGAAGGGAAAGCAGCTGTAGCATGGCTACACATTTAGGACCCTCAATCAATTACTGCTGATAAAATCTAAGGAGCTATTTAAGTGATGAATGCCTGGGTAACAGACAGAGAGGCATAAAGTGCTCTACACAAAAAAGATGAATAGCTTCTGTTACTATTAGTCATTAGCAGCTGTAACTGATGGCCATCTTAGAGAAAGTTGAAATAATCATCAAAATACAATATAACAAGTTAATAGCTTTTATAAGAACAGCTTGATTGCTGTAACGTAAATAAAAAGTTTATGGAAGGTCATAAATTATTCTCAGCATGACACTTTCTTAATAAATGAATGAAAACAAATTAATGCAGTTTTTCCAAAATTGATACACTTTTGTATTTTTGTTTGAGAAATGCTTGTCTCATCCCAGCAGAAACGATCTTCTTGGTCTGTTTTTAATCATGTTCAGTGAGGGAAATGAATCATTTCTGATTTAACTCCACTGCCTCATAAGGAAGTGTTGCCTAATCAGCTGTAAAGAGAATTCTAAAGCTTTCCAGAATACTGTGAATTACAATGTGTCATCACAGACAGGAGTTCAGACTAATTTTACTGCTAATTTCTCAAAAAAAAAAAAAGAGTCAAAGCTACACAAATTAGTTTGTTGTACCACATAAAAACGATTGTTAAACAATAAAAGAAAGGTGAGAGAGTGGGTAGAGCAAACTCATCTGAAGGAGAGTTTTATGATTTATTGCCACTTAAAAACAAACAGCAGCTGATCAGCTGCTAATTCAGAGCTACAGACTAGTAAGTAGCCTGGAAACTCTGACTCCAAATAACTTAGCAGCCAAATATCATTTCTAAAGAGGGCTCCATTAATTTATTTCACTCATTCCGTATTAACAGGCGCAGATTGTCCCTCTGTTCTTCCACACTCCGTATGTACATCTGCATAAGCTGCAGCACAACCAATCAAATTAAATGTAGAAACTTACAAAAACGAGGCGGGGCTCCGGGGCTGGGGGAGCGAGAGACGAAATAAGTCCCCAAATATGCTTCTGCGAATCATTTCTTTTGGCTACATAGATTATGAACTTTTAAATATAAAACGAAATGCAGCTTGCAAAAGATGCAAGAAGAGAATACTGGATGGAGATGGTGATACCACTTGTATGCTATGATTTCTCATAAATCCTGTCCTTCTGCCTCCAGCCGGTGGACAGCGAGCAGAAAGCAGGTCCTGAACCTGAACTCTTTCTCTCTGTCCCATCATAATGCTGAACCAGGTCCAGTTCCATCACAGGATGGATGGTGTATTTGAAGACATCTACGTTGGGAAATTATATTGACAGTAAATAGATCGTTTGCTGCAGTCAGTGCATTAAGTCTATGTTTTTTCAGCTATAACAATTCAAATGGCGACATGATGGTCACATGTTGCACAGAATCCATTTCCAAGTGGCTTAGTTTTGGTAGAAAAACAAATTAAAATCCAGTAATTTTGCTATCCTTCAGAAATTTCTGTAAAAGTAAAAAATATACAATTGTAAGGACCCTGAAGATAACACTGAGTGGGGTAGTTAACCCACAATGCAGCCCATTATTTTGTGTCTTGATTGGTGATTCTAGGAAGCTTTATTCACACATGTATTTTTCAGTACTCAGATGTGAAATAGGCTGTAGATTTAACCCCACACTGACAAATATTACTTTTACCGTCACATCCAAATTCAAAACCACTGTGCTTTATTTGCAATGAGTGCGTTGTGTGTTTGATTTTTGCATGTGTTTTATCTGTTACACCAGACCAAATACAGAGTCTGTCCCAGTGAAAATTTGTGTTTAGAAAATCTGGCCCATATTTATGGAGAACTGAAACTAACATAATTAGAAATAAAAGCAGAAAAATAGGTAAATGCAACAGAGCTTCCTGATTTTACTTGTGATATACGTTTTATATACTTATATTTTCTGAAAACTATGGTTGTTTTAGTGTTAGTATTTATGATTAGTGGGAGTAACTAAAGTCAAATGTAATTCATGAATGGCTGCAATTGATTTTCTGTCATCTGTTTACCTCTGACAGATTTACAGAATACCAGATGAACAAGAGGGTCACAAATGAACTTCAATAGCCTTCCATATCACAATTTCTGGACACTAGTTCTGGGCAGTACAGTATGTGATGGCTTTCTGCTGTGAATGATTCAAACGCCTTAATATCTGACTTGGTTATTGGCTGCAATCTGCCCCGGTCTATTGTGGAAAATAAGAGTTTTCAACACTTTCTGACAGTAGTTGACAGCAACTACAGCCCAATATGTCACAAAACAATGAGATCAAAAATAGAGGCTCGTGCTGCAGAGAAACATTTGATGTTAAAAACTCAGCTGAGCCAGACTGATCATGTTTCAGTGACGGTGGACGTTTGGTCAGAATGAAAGATGAGGGGTTTCCTTGGCATCACTCTGCACTGGATACAGAATGAAACTGAGAGGGTAGGGCTAAAATCAAAACTGTTGGCCTGTGAGCGCTTCAAAGGCTCGCACACAGGTGAAAGAATCTGTGAAAAGTTTGAAGCTGCATGCGATGAATACAACATCAATCTGGATTACATTTATAAGTGACAATGATGCCAATATGTGAAAAGCATTCACTGTGTGCTTTCCCACTGAGCAAGGCGAGGAACCTGATGATGGCCGTCATCTTGATGACCCAGAGCTCTGGGATGACTAAACCTTGGAAGATCAGGAAACAGTCAGTGCTTCTATGGGGGAGAAACATCGCCTGCAATGTTTTGCTCAGACACCAGCTGGTGGTGAGAGATGGCCTGGCAGAGACCAAAGTGGCATCTCCTCCCCTTTCAAAGTTATCTAAGCTCAGCTCACTACTGCATACAAGCACAACATTGATGTGTTTGAAGCTGAACTTGGAGACCAGAAAAGCATCCCTGCTTCTGTCCTCACAAGATGGAACTCAACAGTGAGACAGGTGAAGGCGGTTCTTCAGTGTGAGCATCTGGAACTCTGTGCTGTTCTTGAAATGGCCGCACACAAGGATTTGTTATTCACAGCAAGAGAGTGGAACTTGTTGAAGCAGATGGTGGACATCTTGAAGTCTTTTGAAGAAGCAACTGATTTGAGACAAGTTGAGAAAGTAGTCACGATCAGTGCTGTTGTTCCATCCCTGCTGTCTCTCAGTCACCACCTTGAGAAACTAAAGCCTCAGGTCCGTTTCCTAAATGGTCTGGTCAGGAGCCTCCTGGAATCTTCATCAGTGTGCGAATAGCGAGAGCAGAAGAAGGGATCACTGCACCCTTTACAGATCCAGCATTTTCTCTGTTGTGGGTGGAGCACCATGCGTTGGGCGGTCAGGACATGAAGAGAGAGATGACACAAAAAGTTAAAGGTAAAGACTGCCACTTTACCAGTGGCAGTCTTTTGGTCTTTTGCAAATGCAATGCAGAATAGTTAACTGAAATACAATATCCTCAATTGCAGAATCCTACTTTTGGATACATATGGAGACATTGGGGTTCAGTTTTCCTTTTGGTTATAGGAAGATCCTATCAGGTATAGGAGCAGCAGAAATCGACAGTTGTAACAGGAAAGGAGGAAAACGGAGAGAGAGAGAGAAAACTAGTTTATTAAAATTAATTTCTCCAATGCTGCAAAGAGGAAACAGGAAGCGAGGCAAAACCATTTGCAACTGATGTCACCATGATGTCAACGCAGACACTATTAATATGTCCCACCAGAAAACCAGCCACACAAATTGCTCCGTCAGTCTTTTGGTGCTTATATTGTATAAAATATTTAGTTGATGGCGCATACTACTGTTAACACAGATCATAAACCTATGATATATAGAAAGCACAAAATGTTCTTCATTTGATTAGCAATGCAAATAAAATATGCTCTACAAAGAGCATAATCACATTCTTAATTCCTTAACTTGTTTACTTTACAGAGAAAAATCATTTTTCCATCAGATCATGTGCAACAGTGCAATCAAAAACATCAAATCTACTGGAAGGGTCACCATGGACCAACATTCCTTCACAAAGACTAAATGTTTTCAGTCTGACAAGCTCTGAAGCCAGAAGGCTTTCTCCTCTGTTCTTAATTGTAGCTCAGCATGTCTACAATGCTATCTGCCTTGCCTGTTTGTGGCTTTTTGCACCTATGTGCTGTGATCTCTGTCTATTCTAGTTATGAGTAATTTCTCACCATCAGAGTTTTGAAAATGTCTGATAAGTGATGGCAGGTCCTTATCTGTACCATCTTCACAGCCAAAATAGCATAGCATCCGATTGTCTAGTTCAGGGGTGTCAAACTCCAGTCCTCAAGGGCCGCTGTCCTGCAACTTTTAGATGTGCCTCTGCTGCACCACACCTGAAAAGAATAATTAGGTCATTAGCAAGGCTCAGGAGAACCGATCTACACAGGGAGGAGGTAATTAAGCCATTTCATTCCACTGTTTTTTACCTGTGGCACATCTAAACACTGCAGGACAGCGGCCCTTGAGGACTGGAGTTTGACACCCCTGGTCTAGTTGTAAGAGTTACATTTATGACAACTAAAGTTGTTTCAACTTGTCCAGTCTGTAATAGGTTAAATATATTTAACATACACACAGCTTAAAAATATACTTCATTAAAATAATTGTACAGGGTGCAGTGGTGGCGCAGCGGTTAAGCACAACTCATATATATTTCGCACGGAACGGTACGGTTGTGTTCGCATTACAACTTGCGACCGGTGTTATAGATCAACTGGTGGCTAAATCAACTGGTGGTGGCAGCTGGAAAAGACTGATGTTTCTGTGGGCGTGGCTTTTTAGGACCCCTTTACCGAACCAGGAAGTAAACAATGCAATAAGCTTAAAGAACTACAAATCTTTGCAAAAATACTATCCAATTCCATAAAACAACCACTAAGATCTCGGGAATAACTAATTAGAAGGAATTTATTGGTCTAATATGGTATGTTGCCTTTTTTTTTTTAAAGTTCATCTGCAAAACCATCAAAACATGTAAATTACGCAGAACTTGTCCTGACTTATGTGTTGCTTCAGAGGTTGAAACTCGTCAAAGGAAGATCGAAATAGATCTCGATGTGGAATGAGCAGATCTCAAAGCAAAGCTGACATAAATGTTGAAAAGCCTTGGGATTAAAAATGAAATGTTTAAAAAGATCGACTGGCTGTGTAATTTTTCCACATATTCCTCATATTGTGATATTTCAAATAGGTATCCACAGAAACTATAGCGAAATCTTTTTAACTGTTTCTGTAATGTTACACTTTATTTCCTAGCTCATTTACAGAAGACATGGCTACCGCAGATCTATGTGGCAGTGTCATTTCTTCCTTATTGTTGTTTTTTCTCGTCTTTATTCTTTTCATCAAGTGACCGTAATTCTCAACCATATGAGACATCGCTGAAAAAACAATTGTCTTATATACTTTTACATCAGAAACAGGTTAAAATCTTCACTCGAACTGAGATTCTGAAAGTGCCACCAATTAATCCAGGCCAGGCCGCGGGGTGTCCGTTATATGACAATCAATGACAGCTAGGAAATAAAGTGTAGTGTTACAGACACAGTTAAAACGATTTCACTATAGTTTCTGTGGATACCTATTTGAAATATCACAATATGAGGAATATGTGGAAAAATTACACAGGCAGTCAATCTTTTTAAACATTTCATTTTTAATCCCAAGGCTCTTCAACATTTTTGTCGGCTTTCAGGGAATAATCTTTACTTTGAGATCTGCTCATGCCACATCGAGATCTATTTCGATCTTCCTTTGACGAGTTTCAACCTCTGAAGCAACACATAAGTCAGGACAAGTTCTGCGTAATTTACACGTTTTGATGGTTTTGCAGATGAACTTTTACAAAAAAGGCAACATACCATATTAGACCAATAAAGTCTTTCTAATTAGTTATTCCCGAGATCTCAGTGGTTGTTTTACGGAATCGGATAGTATTGTAATGATTCTGTGTTTTAGTTCTGCTGGTGTGGATATGGTTATGTGTATTTGTTGTATGTTACATTGTGATCTTTATTATGTGTATAAAGTTATAGGCTTCCCCTGACTGACTCTGCTGACTCCCACTCACATGACAGAGATCTGTCATGTGGGCGGGGGATCAGGGGAGCAGCAAGAGGGACCGGAAGAGGAGGGAGTTCGGTGTGTGTTAGCAGGAAGCTAGTTCAAAAAGCGCTACGGGTTGTTGGAGGTGTGGGCTGCGCCTCAAAATAGCAGCTCGTTTCTACGACTAATAAACCCGT